TATTATTTTATTTTACAATATTAGATTTAAGAGAATTTTAGATTATTTACATCAAATTGATTTTTAAAGTAAAATTTTGTACATTATGAGATATTTTGTTGATGAACACAGAGAGAAATCTTTATTAACGGTTAACATATACAATGTATTTGAAATTATAGTCCGTCGGATGGAACATTAAATAGTTCCCTATATTAAGGTTATCAACTACATGTATTTTGCATGCAACAGATAAAAATTTCCCGCTGATAATTTCTGAAATCTTACCAACTCGGCGTTAAGCAAAATTCAACCAATCAATAATTTGTACAGGTATATTGTTTAACATGATATTCTATTAACCTATTTATTTTTCTACATTATGGATAAAAGACGATTGGTTCTTTACTAGTAAAGACTTAGTCAATAATTTTTTTGTCGAGCTATCCGTCCATTTACAACCAAGCGAGAATGATGTTGAGGAAAAGAGGGTGTATATATGAACTAGCTTTTTGAAGGTGAATGTGGCTGCAGTAGAAACGGTTTTAGGGGGGGGGTCCTAATAAAATGAGCTTACTTTTAGACACATAGCTAGTATCACACCATGTTTGATCTCACGTAATCACTATATATATACCGATGGATGGGATTTTTTTTTAAATTTAACTTTAGAATAATTATTGTAGCATGATTTAAGTTGTGATTTTATTGGCTGCATGGTTCATGCATTTTCTGTAAGAAACTAGGTATTTCTGAGATCGAATTCGAATCCCTGTAAATTTCGACTCGATCTCACTGGTTCCCTTTTCCTTTACATGGTGATTTCGTAAAATCAAACATAGTGTGTTAACTAACTTGCATGCTTTGAAGATACAGGCTTTATCAAACGTAAAAGCAGCATGGTGTAGATCTATATTTTGTTTATTGGAAGTTCAGTTGTTCACAGAGACAAAGCTGTCGGTACGAAAGACAGAAAAGTAGAAATTAATAATCTTGGGTACGAAAGACAGAAAAGTAGAAATTAAAGATCGGGGGGGGGGGGGGGGTGTCGAGTATTTGCTTTTTAAAGGATTTAAAATACAGTTAACACAGTTTTTTGGGATTGTACATCATGATCATCTGTTTTTGTCATTTATTAAGCAATTCATTTAACTTAGACATGATGGCCGCTTGGATTGCTACGCGTTGACAGGTGCCCTAGCAAACAACGTAGAATAAACCATGACGTCACAATTGAATCGTAAAAAAACCACGATATGCTCAGAGTTAATTTTGCAAACATACCAATTTCAAAATGTAATAACTTTGTTTTAAATGAAGATATTTTGATTCCGTTTTCAGTTTTTGTAATATTTTTACATGGACCATTAAAAAACACAAAAATCTCAAATTCGATAAATTTTGCCATAAGGTCGATTTCTATCCGACGAGGCTCATATTTAGTGTTTCCTACAGCAAAAACATGGACTTTGTCACTATTCAAACTAAGGGATACATATTTTGTTCACGCATTTCCTCATTTACATGTACATACTACCAAATAGGTTTTTTAATAATCGATTTTTATTTAGTAAAATCAAAGGGGGATAACTATTCAAGGACAGGTCAAGGACTTAAACTACGCCACATTCCACTCTTATATTTACCAATACTAAAACATAAAAAAAATATGTCTAGATATATGAAGTACATTCAGCTCATTCATTTTCGCTCTGCATTCAATTTCATTGAATCTGAGGCTAATATGGGTTGGATACTAGTAGTTCGATATCTTAAGAGTGCCCCTGACTGCTTTGTTACTACTCTTCCTGTTTCCAATGAAGTTAAATAAGTACATGTAAATTAACAAGTTTTTCGAAAAATATGATTAATACAAATTGATTTTCTCAGCTTTGAGTTCGTCCTAATTTTAAGGCACGTAGAATTTTTTTTATTTCAAGGTGCGTAATTTTTTCAATGTGCTTTGCCACACTGCTTGTATATCGACTATCACGTTTATTGAAACCCAATTCAGTTCGTTTACGTATAACATACGTCTTCGATATGTTAGTGAAACTGCACGATATTAGAAAATTATGATTCTCATATGTAATTTGATATGTAATATTTTAAAATAATACAGGTTTCGACTCCATGGTAATGAGATGAATACCAGGAGATGCATGCCTCTAACAACAGGCGAAATAATTCTTCTGAGAGAGGGGATAAAAGTTTATGTATTCGAACCACCAAGAAATTCTAGCTAGGCAAAAAAATTCTGATTTTTGATAATCCCTGTAAAGAATTTAAATAGTTCTCATCTCGGAATTTCTTCTTACTCTCGAGAAAAGATTATTTAAGGAATCACTCTCTAGTGAGTATAGTATGCCAGGGCATTAACAATAGTGGGAAACATTGGATAATTTGCATAATGGGCGAAACCCGTTATGAATAAATTATCAAATGTTTCCCACTACTATTGATGCCCCTGGTATACTATATTAACTAGACAGTGATTCCTTATATTTCCATTTTGTTTAAAATAAAATTGTAAATTTAGACTCCAAACATGTAGACAAGGATTTGAATTACATGAGGATTTCCATGTCAATTTCAATAGTCCTCGCCCACTGACGTCAAACACGACGGGAGCTGCATAAGATTTTCATGCATATTTGGTCTCCTTAGCCTCAGACTCGGAGACAGATGCGCACGAGATTTGCATTCATATTAGGCTCCTTAGCTCATGACCTATTGACCTGCCTAATTTACATTCCGGTACAATTATCAAGAAATTAACTCCGCTAACTTTCAAAGAGTTATCACAGAGAGAAAAATTAGAAATGAAAACATACATGTAGTTATAAATGGACACTGATACTGAATAGTGGTGTGCTTTTCATAATGTTTCCATGTACGATTCATTCATTTTAGGGATATGGATGTGCCTGTATATAGATCTTACGAGGAATTAGAAGAGAAAACCAGAAGATGTTCAGAATGCTGTGATTATTTGTCATACCACTGTCCCCTATGCCCAGTCAGCAAATATAAGCCCCGCCAAGTATCCAAAGTTAAACAGCATTTACAAGTCCATTGGCGAACAAGATTGGAAACAAAAGATGGTAATTATTTTTTTGATATTAATTTAGGGAATATTTTTGTACTGAACGCAGCGATAAGATATGATTACATGTCCATGTATTTAGATTTTGCTAAATAGTGGAACGGAAAATGGATAGAATATGATATCAGATTACATCACTTCACTTGGTCATGCCCAGTCTTTTATTCACGAAAATTCCTAACATAGAAAAGAGTAGGAAAACGGAACGGAAGATACATATATACTTTTTATATACAAGTACACATGAATACACATGAATATAAAACATGAGTTGTAATAAAATTATAGAATACTAGTAGTTCTAGATCTTTCGCAACAACCGTGAGACCTTTTAGCAGGTTTATATTTTTTAAGTTAAAATTCTCAGCTGTATAAGAGTTCAAAACAGATTGTTATGAATGTAAAAAAAAATATTGTTATCCAATGTAGAAAGGAATTAAACCGAAATGCATGGATCTTCTTTCATGCGAAATCATTGCATGTCGCAAGAAATCGATTAACTTCCGTAACCATTCTGTTTTAAAAACAATCTCGAAAAGAATGCAGATTTTAAAAAGAAACTGAAACTTATCTGAAAGTGACCACGGAACGGCCCCCACGGAACTTTATATTTTGTTTTTGTCCCCCGCTTTCGCGAAAGCGTGGGGACATTAAATCTCATTCGTATGTCCGTCTGTCCGTCACAAAAACTTTAACCTTGCCCATAACTTTTGATTTAGTGGAGCTATGACTTTCACATTCCACATGTGTATTCCTTGTAAAGTAAGTTCTGTAACTTCTATAACGATATTTTTACCGAAATTTTAATTTAATTTTAAATTTAGGGTAATTTAAAAATAATAAGACTTGATCAATAATTAACTTCCGTAACATTACCTTAAAATCAATAAAATTAAAATCGTTTTAAGAATTAAAAGATTCGAGATTTGTGGACACTTTTTTGTTTTCAAGTTCACCGATATGTCTTTTAGAGATTCATGATGTTTATTTTCAATACAAACGACATTTATACCTTTAAAATCACACATATGCCTAGCTTTGCAGACGTTTGATTTGATCAATCATAGTTTTAAAATTTGAAGAAAAAGATGATGGTACTAGTTGATAAACGTTTTTTTTTTTTTGCATTTATATGAAAAGATTAAAATAAGTTTATTACAATGTATTTTAAAAAGAATCAGACCCCCCCCCCCTACTGTTTGCGAAATAATGTTTAGATTTGTATTTGTAAAATGTGATGTATAACTTTTAATTTCAAAATTTAATTAAGCTTGGTTTTATCTAATATTTGAAGAAAGGTCAATCTGAAGAAATTTCACGGGGAAGGGATGCACTGTAACCAAAAATTTTAGGGGGGAGGGCACTACATAGAAATCTTTTTTTAATCAGTCATATAAGTCGAACTTTTCAAGTTATTAATTTAATAATATTCTGCTCACGTTAGACAGCCTTTTTAAGAAAGCTAATATTTGTGTCTGATTCATATCCAATCCATTTTATTTGTATATGGTATCATTTTACAATACTGTTCCGTTCCGTTTTCAGTGTTACGTTATAGCTACACCCCCATTATAACTTAATTTGGTCTTGTTATTTATTACGACTGTTTCAATCATATCGATATACGCTGTTCAACTGGAAATATTTTAATATTTTGGACGATAAAGACAAATGAAAAACAATGTCCTTCAAGTTTGAACTTCTTAATGTCAAAATGAACAATTTGAGAATTAGAAATCTCAATATTTCAAAATCGCGCATCCTATCCTATACGAATTTTCAAATGATAGAACTTTGTTTTTTCTTTAAAACATTCTCTTTTATCTTGTATGGCTATTAAGGAAAAAAATTACCCAACATATATGTTTTTTTTTTTCGAAAATCTGTCATCAACATATTAAGAATATTATCTTAGGAAAATTTGTCGTGATTTGTCATCAAAACCACGGAGCATCAGGTGGCCATTTCCATTGCCCAAGCTGTAAGAAGATTATCAAAAAGAAAGAAAATGCAAAATTACATATAGCGAAATGTTCGGAGACGGAACGAGATGATAGTGGCCCGAATGTAGAAGCCGATGTTGCCCAAGACAGCCAAAATGGCCAATCTGAACATTCCTACTCTAGAACCACAAAACAACAACAGGCTAAAAATTCCTTTACAAAAAAACCTTGTCCAATTTGCAAGAAGCTGTGCCACCCGCGTTGGTTGAAAAAACATGTAAAAATCCACAACAAGAAAAAAGATGAGATCACTGAAAACAGGCACAACTTTACAGTCTTGGTTGATTCTGAGAGAGGAATATTTTGTTCTGCCATAAATCTTAGTGGACCACCACATCCTGTCCACGTTATCAAGAGGACGAGAAATCTTAGTGGACCACCACATCCTGTCCACGTTATCAAGAGGACGAGTGGTGTCCATCAAGACTCCTTTTGTGATAACAACACATGTATCGATATGAAGGACACGGCTAGTAGAGGAGGGAATCCTGCTTTCGAATGCCCTCATGTAAGATCTACATCATACGCCGTAAAGGGAAAATCTATCGATCTCAGAGAGGAGTCCCTTACAAAAATTCAAAAAGAAAATTTCATGACAAAAGAGAGATGCGACCAGTTGCGAAGATTTATGGAGACAACGAACGATGAATCACCATTTTTAGTTGAGCTTCCTTCTCCAAATTTGCAGTCTGACAGATATATCTATTTATCGATTGTAACGGGTCAAAAACGATATTGGTGCAAGACAGGGAGAACGGTGGTGACCATCGACAAACAACAGAAATCATTTACATGTCAGTGCTCTGAGCAAAGCAAGTACTGTATTCATAAGGCAGTAGGAAAATGGTTTGCTAGCCAAGAAGTACAACATCTCATGTCTTCATGCCAAACTCCAGAGCAGCCTGATGAAGAGTCTTCGAACAGCAACCAAAATCAGCTTCGCATATTTGAGTACATTTTTGCTACTAAAAAAATCCCAGAACTGATACCAAAAGAGGTATACGAAGAAACCAGTCAACAAAATGATTTGATCGGTTCCTCCAGTCGAAAACTTTATCCATCAGAAGATATGTGTCACCGCTGCAATGGTGGGTTGGCATCTGAACTGGCGAAACACAAATCAAAAATAGTACATTTAAACAAGATCATTCCAGGTAAATTTATTATAATTTAATTGAAAAATATTGTTTTATTTTACGACAAAATTTGGCGTAAAGCTAATTTTAATGATTAATAATTACAGATGTTGCTGTCTACCACAAAATTTGTCCTCGCTGTAATACGAAATACCGATATCAAGAATGGAGTAATGGAATCCATAACTATAATGATAGTTTGTTCCTAGGATTAGACGTTTGTCTTTTTATAAGAGATGGTTTACTAGTAAGTAAAAATGTTAATGAAATGATGTACCAAGGCAATGATATGAAATTAAAATATTCCATTATGTTATATATTGTAACAAAAACTTACCTTTTTAAGAACCATGTTGCTATGGGTCGTACGCTAGCCATTCTACAAGAGATGATAGGAACAAATCTGAATGTGATGGAAATTGAAAAAGCTTATCTACATTTTGAAGCAATGACTGACAGAGAGTACGAATTCCATTGCGTACTTTGTGGATACTCTCCAGCAATTATCATTTGGGACACTTTTCGAAAGGCATCATTTAGGCATGTAGGTTAGTACACTTTAAGTCATTTGAATTTTAATATCCATGGTATATGCTTATATATGTGTAGTTAAAAGGGAAAAAATCCTATTGCATTAGACATTGTATATTGAATAAAAACATTTTAATGTATACAGAAATCAGAAAAAAAGAAAGATATATAATTAATTACAAAACAGTGGGTCAGCAAACATTATTTTTTTTTCTCATTTGGGTGGAAACCTTATGTACACTTTATATGAACCGTGGTTTTAATTTAAGCAAAAAAAATTAATAAAACCCCATATTTTTGTCTTTAGTGTCAGATTTGCCACTACCTAATGAGGAAGTCAATGAGACAGTGAATATGAAAAACTTCTGGCAACAAGTAGAGAGCTGTATTGTGAAACGAGGGATAGAAAAGGGTTAGAAAGAAAATCTGTACTAGTTTTAATACATACAAAGTTTTAGTCATTGATATGTTTGATTTATACATTTGTAATTTATAAAATAAAATAAGAAATTAATTTCGTATATAATTCCTTGCTTTCTACAGCATTTAAATGATTCTTAATTTCAGATCTTGCAAAACAGGATGAGGTAATACCCAATTATGGTTTCTGGAGTCCATGGATTGGGAAATATACTAGAAAAGACGATGTTGTGTACAACACCGAGTTTAAAAAATGCCCACCGTATGCTCATGATGACATAGATGAATGTATACCAGAAGAAACCCTTTTTCATTTACTGATGCACGAAAAGGTTTTTTTTTATCATACATTTTGTTAACTACCTTGGACCCACTGCGAGTTTTTTTATGAATAAAAAAAATCACAATTTTGTAAAGCGTGAAAAAAACATGAAAATAATGAAATTTCTAATTTCTCAATATTGCTTTTTGATTTAGACATCAGCAATTAAAAGGATGTGCAGAGAACTAGGAGTGAAGCAAGGGAATTCATCTGTCGACATGATTCTAAAACTCAGAGACCTCTCTATAAACAGATCACAATTTGATCTGGCATATGAAAAAGTTTTTGGCTGTACAGGTAAATAAAATCAGGAGGATGTTATGAGTTATTTTTGTTGAATCATTTTGGATTGTTGTATCAATACTTCATGTCAGCTCTCCGTTGAACATACCGGTATTTAGCAACCATAACTTTTCAACTTACAAAACGAAACTTATTTTTACAGGCGGTTGGGCAGTTGGAAGCTGTAGACACGGAGTTGTGTATTGTATTAAAAATTTGCTTCGTTGTGAATCTCCGAGAGATTATGTCGACATGGAGAGAGGACTTAAACACAGGCCAACAGTTTCCATCTCAGATGTTGCCCATTTAATGGCCAAGCATGGGAACAAAATGATACCTTCGTTTTATCACCCAAACGAAGGCAGAATTGCCCCTGTCACAGAAGGAAATATCAAACAGGCAGAAGAAAAACGCATGTTCAACATTTCATGTTTGGCAGAGAAGGAAGATGATTATAGAACAGAGGATTCCAGCAGTAATCCAATCACGGGTTCTAAGTCACATTTCTCACTTTTTGACTGGTTTCATCAGGATAACTGTCGGAAAGAGGAAGAGGTGCTGAGAAAATCTTCGCTTGTGTCTGAGATTGCTGGACTGATTGACACTCAAGCTGTGGAACAACTTTTTAGCTCTTGCAAGAAGGACATTTACTTCATGAACAACTTGAGTCCAACTAATCATTTATTTGTTTTTAGACTTATTTGTCACCTCCGCAATCAAAAAAAGAACTCCCTAGTTAAGAAGAGACAACTTGAAGTATTTGGGACACTCCATCAGAATATGTATGGACAAGTTTGCGGAGGAGTTGATGTTGCATCAAATTCCAGCTACAACTCTGGACCAATATCAGTAGAAATCAGTCAAGTTGATATCGCAGATTCGCCAGTCATTTGCAATGTGTCAAGCATTTTAGATGTTGCAGACAATAATGATATGGCCTATAATGATCCAGAAATCCAGACCTCTACGGGTGGGCTTGTAATAACACCGATTTCACAACAACCAAGAAACCCTCTAGATGAAGCAATGGAAATTTTGCAGATGAAGGTTTGTCCTTATGAACTGCTTCCACAATGACGAGAGCTCTGTGATTTATTACAGACTGGATTACACATTATTGAAGAGTTGCAAGATAGTGAGAAGAATGCATTGGTCGCAAATTTAAAATATGTAAAAGATGTTTTATTTAAAGAACCATCTAACACACGAAAATCTGAAGTGCGAACAGTACACACGAAATATGGTCCTTTTGAAATACAAGGATTTTCAAACTTTTGCGGTTTGTGTCCGGTGAACAATGTAATTCGAGATTTTTCAGTATCTTTCATCATTGATGATTTGAATAAAATGGCTGACACACTATGGATGAACATGTTGCTTAACCCCTCTTACGGCGTTAGTCAAAGGGGAGAACCTATGCGTGACAGAGAAGGGTTCTACAGTGTGGAAGTCCTTCGATCAGCTATGGATAGTAAGGGGTTCGAAATGATCGCACTCAACCCACAAAGCATTTATGGACTAACATCAACCGATATTGGACTGCTTGTTGGAAACACTTTGCGAAATTCTTACGGGAACGTTAGAACGATTATCAAACCCTCTGACCAACAACACTGGATATCAGTCAAGGAAATAAGTGGGGGGGGGTTTTGTTAATGGACTCGAAGAAATCGCAGCCAAGATACTTGGATACGGAAGAAATGGGACTCATTGTTCGTGAAAACTGCGAAACACCAGGGGCAGTCCATTTTGTTTTTAAAACATCTGAGGAAACTGATATGGATAAGGTAAATTTTCAACTTATCATAAAATTACTTTGAAATGGGGTTACTTTATGTTTACAAATGTTTGCTTTATTCTCATAAGGTATTCACAAAATACAAATGATATTAATAAATATATTTAATATACAAAGGATATTTTGCAACCTTCAAAATTTTATAAAATGAAACAAACGTGTGAAATTAAAATGTGTTTAGCTTTTTTGTTATATAAGTATAACTACCAGGTATTTTTTAAATATTTTTTTCAGACAAAGATGGAAGAGGAAACGTTGAAAGGAACGATGGGTACAGACCAAGCAAAAGAAATGACAGATACGGTAAAAACATAAAAAAAAATTGAAGTTTACATTCAAAATTTTATAAAATGAAACAAACGTGTGAAATTAAAATGTGTTTGGGTTTGATATACAAGTATAATGACCAGGTATTTTTTAACAGATTTTCTCAAAGATGGAAGAGGACACGTGGCAAGGAACGTTGGGTACAGATCAAGCAAAAGAAATGACAGATACGGTAAAAACAAATAAAAATTGAAGTTTCCATTTAGCATTATATAAAATGAAACAAACGTGTGAAATTAAAATGTGTTTGTGATTTTTATACAAGTATAACTACCAGGTTATTTTTTTAACATTTTTTTTCAAAGATTGAAGAGGACACGTTGAAAGGAGCAATGGGTACAGATCAAGCAAAGGAAATGACAGATATGGTAAACACATTTTAAAAACTTGTACACTATATTGGACATTGAGATCTTACATGACATTAAAAATACAAATGTTTAATTTTTCTTTTTTTTCGTTTAGGAAAGAACATATTCGATCTCTTCGGAAATCAGTGGATACCCAAAGAAGAAGAAAACCAAATCGCCTTCTTACTCACGAATTGTAATTACATTCATTTATCTAGTTCGAAACTTGTTTTTTTTAATTTATCGGCTATTGCATGTAAGATATTGCAGAAAGACAGTACTGACGTGACGTGCATTTTTTTTTCTATGTTACAGGGGAAAACTTACGAGTTGAGACCTAAACCCAAAAAGGTTCGCTCTCTTTTTCTCTCTCTCTCTCTCTCTCTCTCTCTCTCTCTCTCTCTCTCTCTCTCGATCGATCGATCGATCGATCGATCGAGCGGAGATTCTTGTATACTTTCTAATCATTTCCTGGACCAATATTTTTTGGGAAAAGATGTTTTAAAGTTTTTTTTTTTTTCAGAAAAGAAAGTACAGCTCATTTTACTACCCAGGCACTGGAGTCATGAAAAGGTATTTATTCGTAGAAACTGTATTTAAAATAGCTTTGCACGTGCAGTTATGTTGACTTGGCAATGCTAGTAGTATCTATAAATTTATAGCTAAAAAAATTCTTTTATAAGAAATACTGTGAGTGCTGAAATATATTGGCATGAGTAAACCAAAATCCTTCGTCGAAACCGTATCTCTACTGGTTTGTACTTATAACTTACAGAAAAGTTGATTAAAAATGAACAGTTTGCGATAGCAATGAATAAAATAAGGATTCCTCATTTAGTCTCTTTTTGTTGTAAGATTGCAACTGTACGTGAAGCTTTTTAAAAGTAATTTACAGAAATTTCAAACTTACCATGGAAACGTCATCCATCAAACTCAAACATCAATTGAGATAGTTATCGGGTACAATTTTGTTGATGAAACCTAGATAACAAATAGTTTCTCAGTATATTATACATGCATGCCTTATTACATGTATATTAAAATCATACCTTAGTCCAACGAACCTTTAAAATTCAAGTAATCCAAAAGTGACCCCACAAATTTAAATGATATATACCATAAAAATTAGTTTTTAGCATGAAAACCGTCTGTGAACCATAGGTCCCCCTTTTTGTATATTTTAGAGACGAAAGAAGTAGGGCGAATGACAGCAAAGAGCATGTGTGCGAGGAAATTCCTTCGAACCAAGGTAGAGACGAAGACTGTACAGTAATAGACGATGAAGAATGTAGGAGCGAGGAAGGCACATCGAACCAAGGTAGAGACGATGACGATACAGTAATTCACGATGAAGAATGTATGAGCGAGGAAGGCACATCGAACCAAGGTAGAGATGATGACGATACAGTTATTGACGACGAAGAACGTTTGTGCATAAGTCAATATTACATAGATGATACTTACGAAAATTGAATCTGTACATTATGCCTATTAAGGTTAATGGAGACAACAATTTAAAACCTTTTTCAGCTGTTTTTTATTCAATCTTATTTAAAGTGAAAGATATTTCTTGCCTTAAAATACTCTTTCTTCTAAAAGGCTTAATTCGTAGTACTTACACAGTTTCAATTAAATTTAATGTTTTCATGCAAATGAGTACATTCCAAAAATATCCATCTCTATTGCTTCAGAATATTATTTTTTTTATTTAAATTTTAGAAATAACCATGAAGTCTTTTCATGAAAAGGTAGGTATTAGTGTTATATTCTTCGATGTTTTACCTTTGAAACCATTGAAGAAAATATATAATGTATTTTAAAAAAAGATTTGATCAATCAATGTTTCACATTTGTGTTGTATTTTACATTACATGTAATTATTTTGACTTTCAATGATGTGATTTGTTAATTTCTGTCCAGATAAACCAGATACAGAACTTGACATGGGAAATTATCAATTGCTCAAATAATGAATGGTAAGTACAAGATTTTAGAGAATACATGTAACTTCGGATGCTCCTATATATATCGTGATTATATATTGCATTTAAGATTGTAACTATTTGTACGAATTCTATTCAATTCTGATATTAAATAATTCTTCGAGAATGATTGCTTGCCAATCAGCCAACAACTTTCTCTCTCCTATTCACATAATACATATATTCTTTGAAGCGATGAGGAAGACCACCAAAGGCACCACCAATTTATCTTGGACATAAACAGATTTCTGCTAAACGAGAGACGAAATTATGGGTTCGGGAAACAATACTTCGATGTAAAAGTAAAACGCTCATATTTTTTTTAAAATTCTCATTTCACCTACACAGCTTTCCAGCTATTACTTTGTAAAAATTAAATCAATTTTGTTGTTGTTTATTATTGCCACTTGTCATGTTTATTTAATATTGTTTTTACAGCAACAGGAACTGTTGATGCAGGAATTAATAAATCGATTTATGGTTAAAAAACTAACGTAAGTGTAATATTTTCTACTAAATTTCTTTTTTTAAAATTAAAGATAGGGATAAAATGTATTTGGTGTATTTCTAAACAATTTTACTTCCTTGAACCTACATGTATCGATATCAGTTATATAATTTGTATAGTCCTGGAAAGATATACACTGATTGATGGTTGTCAATTGCTGGTTTGAGTGACAATGAAATACTGGAGGATATATTCAAATCAAACGAAGTGTAAGTCTATCTTTAATATTGCCTGATAAATACAGAATATTGTTAACGGTGAAAAATGAAGAAAACTTTGTGCTTATGTTATCCCTAATTACAAAATTATTCTTCAAAATCGATATTTGTAGATCTGCCAAAGATTATATAATACACGTTCTTGTCAAGGAAATTATCAATTTTTTGATCATGGACACCACTGGAATAACATACGAAATGGCTAATGAAAGATCCAAGAGCACAGAAGAGTCAATTAAAGACAAAGTAAGGAATTATACTAACATTAATCTAGCTAGTCAGGGAAAATACAAAAACTACCTAAAGGACCTATCCCTATCTATCCCTGAAATTATCCCTACTTTTTTCAATAAAACTTACCTATCTGAAATGTATGTTATTTTACTCTAATATTTTTTTAATTCATGTGGGAAATTTTGAAGTGAAATTAAATTTAATTGTCTTGCCTGAAAAAAAAGTAATTCAATTCACTGCAGGAATTTGTAATGTTTGTGTCCAAATTCAACAATTTCAATTGGAATTAAAATAAAATCATAAAAAAATATTTAGTACGGTAGGTAATATTTATCTGTTTAAAACAAGGATCATGTATTTTTGGTAAAATGTTCAAAACATTAAAATTATCTTCAGATAAAACTATAACTAATATAAATATATACCTATAACTGTAATACCAATTATCTTCCACCTTTCATCTGAGTCACAGTTAATAAAATATGCATCCTTTTTAAGTTAACGACGGTGTTTCCAGAGCTGCTACGTGAAGATTAAGTTTTTCTTATTGTTAATTGCAGCTCGAAAACATGAGAAGATAGACCAGGAAAGAAGGCTTAGAAGGCTTGGAAATTTTCGTTGATTAATTAACTTGCAGTTAGAGAGTCCATCTCATTACTT